ATATATACGCCCATATTGTACTTGCACGTAAAAATGGTTCCTATTTGCAAATTGTACAAGACCCTCTTTCAATGTCATAGTGCTGACAGAACCACTTAGCTATTTTCAAACATCATGATGAAAGGGATGGGTCATTGAAAAATACCGAGGTAGTAAAAATAATGAGGTTGTAGCAAAGATAAAATTTATATTGAAAATGAGTGTGTGATGGTGGGTAATGCTAATAAAGAGAATTAACAGAGGAAGAAATTACAACAAGGTTGAGAGCATATTATATTCAAACTTGAGGTAAATTCAGACTAGCATTTTGGATGGAGTGGATGGAAAGAGATTGCAATTATCATGAGAGACTCTGGTGCCCCCAAAAGGAACTTTTTTTTCTTTTTTTTAAACTGAGAATAATGGTGCTGTTATTTTTTTCTCTTCTAAGGTGAAGCTAAGCTGCCCTCCACTCACGGCCCGATCAGTCTCACCCTGGGCAGCCTGCTGGACGACCAGCACTGGCATTCCGTGCTCATCCAACGCTTGGGCAAACAAGTCAACTTTACAGTGGATGAGCACAGACATCGTTTCCACGCCCAGGGAGAGTTCAGTTACCTACATCTTGATTATGAGGTGTGATGGTTACGTTTCAATTAATGCAGACTTTGTAATATATATGTGGTATAGCCACATGAAAGAAAATACACTATAGAAAACCTACGTTCAGAGTCAGTCAAGGTTCTGATGAAGTGTTCCTCTAGGTGACCTAACTCAAGTAGCAAATTTTGTGCATATACTACTGAGACTCCATCTTTCTCCCAGTGCGTTAATTTATTATTACAAAGAAATGTCATCTTTTTTGCCTGCAACGGGTAGTTACAAATTGCCACATGTAGGAAACGTTCTTGAAGAGATCTCATTACAAGTAAATACAGAATGTGTTGCACGATTGGTGGTGGTAGGGGCGGGTAAAGGGCACTCCTGAACAGTGCAGATTTATGGAGAGAATGTAGCAATAAATAGATTAATTGATTCATTAATAATCAGTTCAAATGCACAAATATCAATGTGTGCCAGAAATGTGTATGAAACAAAATGTCATTGTAATTGGTAACATTGTTAAAGCTGCCAAGGTTTACCATGGATATAAAGATGTATTTTTCTTCAGCAACCAAAAAATATTGAAATCAGGTGTGATGAGCAACTTGTAAAAAATAATCAAGCTCTTGTGTAAGTGAAAACTGAATGCATATAAATTTGTTTCAAGATATGCATCTTAATTTTTTTTAATCTCCATTTGAAATTATCAATATGGCAGTGTAGGGTACTGAAAAATCGGTCTATCTGTGATGACTACAGCTATAGTTGCTAATCGTAATTATTTAAGCAGATTATCAAAAAATCACTAAACAATATTATTGATGCCATTTTTCTTTCTAAGATCAGCTTTGGAGGGATTCCAGCACCTGGAAAATCAGCGTCATTCCCCCATAAACATTTTCATGGGTGTTTAGAAAATCTCTATTATAATGGAGTGGATGTTATTGATTTGGCCAAGCAACGGAACCCACAGATCATCATTATGGTAAGACTTGAGTCTTCATGTGAACAAATGAGGAAAACTACACACAAAACAATTGCTTCATTTTGAATTCCCACTTGATGTGATGTTTTAGACTTTACTCTTGTTCCTTAAAAACATTTCTCTGCTTGGCAATATGCATGTAAGGGATGAATTCTATGTTAAAAATTTTAAATTCATAGGGCATGATTATTTTATATTTATATGAAGTAAAGCAGGCCTTTTTTTGGTGCAACTGATAATTTATTTTGTTGTGATATTATTACTCCCAGGAGACTAATTTCTCTTACTCTGTAATTTCCTTTATAAGTTACTCCCTGACACACTCTCTGAAGAAGCATACCAAGTTCCTGGAGTCAGATAACATCCATCTATATTAGAGAAGCATTTGAAAAATTTGTATTTTGCCATGGTCATTTATAACCAATAAAAGAAACTAATAGACTTTTACAAGATTGCATCTGCCAGTCTGTCCCAAGAGCAGTGCTGGTTAGGCTGCATTATACTCTAATTCTATGGAAATGCAGCAGAATTTAAATACAACTGTTATCGGTCAGGGTTCAGTCAGGGAAGCAGCACCACTGTGAGTTTAGGAACAAGGATCTATTTTAGGACTTGGATCTTAACAATCATCAGAGGCACTGGAAAGTGGAGCCCAGCTGTCTGGAGGAAGAGATGGAGCAGAGTGAAAGCCAGGACAAGCTGGAATAAACCAGCCCCTCTGTGATCCTCCCTCACTGGGCTTTATCACACACAGAAAACCTCTGGGGGAAAAACGGCCAGCCTTTCACTTCTGACTCATATCATGCAAGCTCCCTTTTTGGCTAACTTTTAACCAGAGCAAGACAAGAAAAGAGATTCTGTGAAACGTGGTTTCTAGTTTAACCAGCTTAATGACAGAAAAGCAGACACATCTATCCATTTGAATACATTTCTTTAATTGTTCAAAATTCAGAATATGTAAATGTAAGCTCATGTTGTGTCAGCAAAGCCCAAACCACATCATGGGATTATTTATTGCTTACAAAACATTTTATTCTTAATTCTCTGTGTGAATTGATAGTATTTATATGAGTACACCATCCAGCAAGATTTTTAAATAGTATTTTTTTTAAAAAAGGGAAAAGAATTTAAATGGAAAATAAAAATATTATAGAGAGATAGATGTGAGTGTTTCATTGCAAAATGAGTTTCCAGAAGCTGCTCGTGCAGCTAGCACCCACTCTTCATTGCCAAGAGGATTTGCTGCTTGTAGAATAGCAGACAGCTGTCCAAATGCAGCTGGTAAATGTTTCCATTTTTACCAGGTTTGTTAGTCTTATAATTGCCTTTACATTATGGGTCAGTTTATTTCACTCTTCTGCTTTTGTTATTTCATTCACTGGGGCAAGGTATTTGTCTGCAGTGAAAGCTAATTCACTTTTAACAGAATCACAGTATAGCCAAATGTTTTTGTTTAACCAAGACTAGTAGTTTAATTCCAATGTGTATTCTTCTAAATAAAGTGATTTCATTGACTTTTCAAATCTATATTTAGAAAATTTGTTGAAGATTATTTTCGGGTAAAATAAAAACATTTATCTTGATTTCTGAAGCCTGTTAAGGAACATTCTAATTATTTCTAAATAGTTCGGACCTTTACTTTTTTTTTTTAATCCTTAAATATGTATTTAACTCTAATAGCAAAATAATCCTTCATGTACAATATTTTAATGAAAATTCATGCAATTCTAATGTATCTTGAAGATCTACCTAAAAACCATTAGATAAGAAATAATACATGTAAATCTGATGACAAGCACATAATGATAAGAAAAAGACAAAAATGGTTCAAAAAAGAATGTAAGTACTACATTGTATTATGCAATGTTAAACCTAATAAAATGAAAAATGAAAAATAGGCAGAGGGTATGAACAGACCGTTCTGAGGAAAGCGAGTCCGGAAGAGCAACAAACTCATGAAAAATGCTTAGATATACTGTTAGGTAAATGCAAGAGAAATAAGAATGATACATCACTCTGGTATTTTGTTGTTGAACTTATGCAAATTTAAAAGATATGTAATACCTATTGCTGTCAAGGATGTGGGGAAAAGCATATCTTTGTCAAGGATGTAGGAAAAGCATACCTTTGTATACTACTGTTGGAAATGTGGAGAATTTAACTTGTTTTGGTGGGCAGAGAAGAAGCTGGAAATATTTATTAAAACATGTAGATACAATAGTTCTTTATTTAGAACCCTCTTCTGCAGAACTGAAAATACCAGCACATAGAGAAGCATGCAGAGTTATTTATTCTTGCATTGTTCAGAGAGGCAAAACCTGGAAACAAAGTGAATATACATTAACAAGGAAACAGCTGACTAAAATTGGAACATTCACATAGTAAAATATTATGCAATCAATAAAAGTAGGAATTAGGCTTCTGCCAGATAACTCAAAGGGATTTCCGTAAGTTATTTGTTAATGATAAAATCATGATACAGTAAACAGCATAAAACATGGCTCCTATTTTAATAAAACAAATAATGCCTAGTGTGTAGGTATATGTATTCAAAACATATTTAGGTGTACGTGAATGTATGTATAAGTGAACACATAACTTAAACATGTATATACATATATATGTGTATATATATATATTTGTATATGTCAATGGAAACAGAATTATGAAAAAACATGGAAGGAAAACCAGTAGCTCATTAATGTTGGTTATGTTATGGGGTGGGTTAGAAGCCAAAGGCAGCAAAAGGGTGAAATAAGTGGGAAGAGAAAACAAAGTAAAACGTAAAAAAGAGTTGTTTTACATAAATTTTTTATTGAATTCAATTGCATTGAGTTAGATGCCTTTGTGAACTGAGAGATGGGGAGGAAATAATTTCACCCAGAAAACGCAGGGAAAGATTTGCCAGACCATGTATCCCTGGATTTGAAGAACCTTTAAGACATATGGCAAGGATTTGAATATTCATGTTGATAGCAATTTTTGTTGTTGTTTTAAATCAGGGGTAATTAGAGATTGATAAACAGCCTCTGTATTTCAGATTTTATCACTAAGGTGATGTGAGTGTCATTCTTAAAGCTTTTTCTTTTACTTTATTCTCAGGGAAATGTGTTGTTTTCTTGTTCAGAACCACAGTCTGTGCCTGTGACTTTTCTGAGCCCCAGGAGTTACTTAGCACTGCCGGGCTCTTCCGGGGAGGACGAAGTTTCTGCCACTTTTCAATTTCGAACCTGGAATAAGGAGGGGCTACTGCTATTCAGTGAGCTTCAGCTGGTTTCAGGGGGTCTCCTCCTCTTTCTTAATGATGGAAGACTTAAGGTGAATCTCTACCATCCAGGAAAATTACCCAGTGACATCACAGCAGGTAATAAGTGTATTCCTGCAGGCAAAGTATATGCGTTTGAAAGATTTCCTTATCTCTCTGTCCCTTCTCCATAAAATTTTATGCTTAACCCAAAAATTAATATTTGTTTAACAAATGAATACTTGAGTTAATAAGATTATCTCTTCCTTAGAGGAACTCGATTCCGATTTTCTTTTAAATATGTCTTCAACACGAGCAGTTCTTATTAACCAAAATGATAGCTGTGGGGCAATAGAAATTTCCTTCCATGACCCTCTCGCCCAGTCCAGGTAAATCAATATATCCCGAGGAAATGTGTTCTGGGAAAAATATGACAGACTTTGAAATGGACCCCAAGTTTGCTGGGTATCTTCAGTGGAAGATGAGTCTTGTGTAACACAATTATTAGTCTTATCTGGTCTTTGAGAGATGGGGAGGGGTCTTTCTGGAATCTATAACTGTATCTCAATATTAGTGTGAATGTAAAACCTAAATATTTAGTCAAATTAACTTTACTTGTTGCTGTAGTTTGTGTGGTGTTGCATGTATTTGGGGAGAAGATTTGTGTAAAGTCTCTCATTTGGGAACCAAATGCAATTCTCTGCACTTCTAGGCAATATGGTACCATTTTAATGACTAGAATATAATTAAAGAGACTGTATGAGTGTCTGGAAAGTTGATGTCTAATTTAGGTCAGTGCTTTGGGTGAGGGATATTTTTGTCTCTTCATTAAAATTATACAATTCTTGACAAAGGAGCTCCATCACATTTTCATATATATGGAATAATACCCAAGCCAAGCAACTAGAGGTCACAATGGGGTAAATTGCGACCTCAAGTTAATAAATGATCTTTAAAAACAATTTAAAGATGCCATTGTACTACTCATCTATATTAACTATGACCAAAATTAATAGAATATGACTGGGAGAGGAAAAAAAGTTAAAATACAGTCAGAAACCAAATATAAGAAACACAGGTATACAAGTGAATATGCCTAGTCTTTGTGTATCTATTTTGTTGTTCGTATATTGCTGTAGTTTAAATGTGGGAACTGAAACTTCAGTATCAATTATCATTTTTAAGAGGTACTGTGCTGGGACCTTTTAATGCAATACTCAAAATGTGGTAGATTTGCAGGCTTGACAAAAGGAAATAAAATAATCAGTGTCATATTACTAATTAATAGGCTCCCTAAAATGAGGGGCTAAAAATGTAAGCTTGCTATTAATGTGTAGTTTATTGTGATGTTATTTGACATCCTCTGGGGTGCTTATAGTCATAGCCTAATTTTCAGCATCTTAAAGAAGCTGCTTCAGTACGGCGTTATTGTACTGAGCCCCATGAAGCTAGTTCATTTCTAAACACTTTACAGGCATACAAATTTAATAAAATACTAGGTGTACGTCTATCTAGACTACCCCAAATGATTTTAAAAATTAATGTTTAAATCCGTGTACACTGTAATCTATTATGACATCATATGACTTTGTGTGACTGTGCCCATAGCTAATAACAAGGATCCTCGACAAAATATGAAAGTCAATATATTAAAATTGTTACACTTCAGATAACACAAGTAGGGCTTTACACACCAACTCCCCCATTCCCATCTTTCTAGTTTCTTTTAAAGTATTAATTTTTGCTAGTTTCGGTGAGGAAAGTACATTTTGCATTGGATGGTGGGCTATTTAAATGGTATGGGTGGGTGGTCCATTTGTTTCTCTCATAGGAGAAGACTTTCTCAGGTACAGTGTTCGATAATTAAATCAGTTGTCAGGTTGTATCATAGTGACTCGGAAGAGAATGGATGACCTATTATTGGTGGGTGAGTATCATATACTAAATCATTCCATTCTATAAGGATGGCTCAATTTTTCTTTGCTACTGGAGATATAAATTATTAACCTTACAGGTTTTCAAAGCATAGAGTTTTTATGCTTTTTACAATGGAATAAAAATTTATATTATGTTGAGGAAGAATGGAATTGTGCAGATGTTTGAATTATCAGGCTAAATTTTTAATGTGATGTAGTTTTACAAATCGTCATTTGGAAAGGTTCAAAAACACTATGCCAGGGCTTCCCTGGTGGCGCAGTGGTTGAGAGTCCGCCTGCCGATACAGGGGACACGGGTTCGTGCCCCGGTCTGGGAAGATCCCACGTGCCGCGGAGCGGCTGGGCCCGTGAGCCATGGCCACTGAGCCTGCGCGTCCGGAGCCTGTGCTCCGCAACGGGAGAGGCCAGAGCAGTGAGAGGCCCGCGTACCGCAAAAAAAAAAAAAAAAAAAAAATACTATGCCAGCCTCAGTCATTTTTGAAATATTAAGGATATTATAATAGTCTAAATCATAAGACATATTAGCAGCACTACAAAATCACTCATGACATAAAATGTTGTCCGTCTCTGTCACCTTCATAGATGGCAAAGCAAAAATCATTCCGATCAAGAACCTAATGAACAATACGGTTATATTTTCCTGTTTAAAACAAGTTATTTATTGTCAAATTTGAGATTGCTGCTATGAGTTTTACATTTCTGCTGTTGCTTTTGCCTAAAGGTGAAAATCAGGCCTGAAAACAAGCTTCTTGCTCCCATGGGCAGGGACTGGCAGATGCAGCCTTACAGCATTTGAGATGTTTCTTTTTAAACATCTTTATTGGAGTGTAATTGCTTTACAATGGTGTGTTAGTTTCTGCTGTATAACAAAGTGAATCACCTATACATAAGCATATATCCCCATATCCCTTCCCTCTTGCGTCTCCCTCCCACCCTCCCTATCCCACCCCTCTAGGTGGGCACAAAGCACCAAGCTGATCTCCCTGTGCTATGTGGCTGCTTCCCACTACCTATCTATTTTACGTTTGGTAGTGTATATATGTCCATGCCATTCTCTCACTTTGTCCCAGCTTACCCTTCCCCCTCCCCGTGTCCTCAAGTCTATTCTCTAGTAGGTCTGCATCTTTATTCCTGTCCTGCTCCTAGGTTCTTCAGAACCTTTTTTTTTTTCCCATATATATGTGTTAGCATACGGTATTTGTTTTTCTCTTTCTGACTTTCTTCACTCTGTATGACAGACTCTAGGTCCATCCACCTCACTACAAATAACTCAATTTCATTTCTTTTTATGGGTAAGTAATATTCCATTGTATATATGTGCCACATATTCTTTATCCATTCACCTGTCGATGGACACTTAGGTTGCTTCCATGTCCTGGCTATTGTAAACAGTGCTGCAATGAACATTGTGGTACATGACTCTTTGAATTATGGTTTTCTTCAGGGTATATGCCCAGTAGTGGGATTGCTGGGTCATATGGAAGTTCTATTTTTAGTTTTTTAAGGAACCTCCATACTGTTCTCCATAGTGGCTGTATCAATTTACATTCCCGCCAATAGTGCAAAAGGGTTCCCTTTTCTCCACACCTTCTCCAGCATTTATTGTTTGTAGATATTTGTGATGATGGCCATTCTGACCAGTGTGAGGTGATACCTCATTGTAGTTTTGATTTGCATTTCTCTGATGATTAATGATGTTGAGCATTCTTTCATGTGTTTGTTGGCATTCTGTATATCTTCTTTGGAGAAATGTCTATTCAGGTCTTCTGCCCATTTTTGGATTGGGTTGTTTGTGTTTTTTATTGAGCTGCATGAACTGCTTATAAATTTTGGAGATTAATCCTTTGTCAGTTGCTTCATTTGCAAATGTTTTCTCCCATTCTGTGAGTTGTCTTTTTGTATCGTTTATGGTTTCCTTTGCTATGCAAAAGCTTTTACGTTTCATTAGGTCCGATTTGTTTATTTTTGTTTTTATTTCCATTTCTCTAGGAGGCTGGTCAAAAAGGATCTTGCTGTGATTTATGCCATAGAGTGTTCTGCCTATGTTTTCCTCTAAGAGTTTGATAGTTTCTGGCCTTATATTTAGGTCTTTAATCCATTTTGAGTTTATTTTTGTGTATTGTGTTAGGGAGTGTTCTAATTTCATTCTTTTACATGTAGCTGTCCAGTTTCCCCAGCACCATTTATTGAAGAGACTTTTTTCCATTGTGTATTCTTGCCCCATTATCAAAAATAAGGTGATCATATGTGCATGCATTTATCTCTCGGCTTTCTATCCTGTTCCATTGATCTATATTTCTGTTTCTGTGCCAGTACCATACTGTCTTGATTACTATAGCTTTGTAGTATAGTCTGAAGTCCAGGAGCCTGATTCCTCCAGCTCTGTTTTTCTTTTCAAGAATGCTATGCCTATTCGGGGTCTTTTGTGTTTCCATACGAACTGTGAAATTTTTTGTTCTAGTTCTGTGAAAAATGCCATTGGTAGTTTGATAGGGGTTGCATTGAATCTGTAGATTGCTTTGGGTAGTGTAGTCATTTCCACAATGTTGATTCTTCCAATCCAAGAACGTAGTAGATCTCTCCATCTGTTGATATCATCTTTCATTTCTTTCATCAGTGTCTTATAGTTTTCTGTGTACAGGTCTTTTGTCTCCTTAGGTAGGTTTATTCCTAGATATTTTATTCTTTTTGATGTAATGATAAATGGGAGCATTTCCTTAATTTCTCTTTCGGATTTTTCATTATTAGTGTATAGGAATGCAAGAGATTTCTGTGCATTAATTTTGTATCCTGCTACTTTACCAAATTCATTGATTAGCTCTGGTAGTTTTCTGGTAGTATCTTTAGGATTCTCTTTGTATAGTATCATGTCATCTGCAAACAGTGACAGTTTTAATTCTTTTCCGATTTGGATTCCATTTATTTCTTTTTCTTCGCTGATTGCTGTGGCTAAAACTTCCAAAACTATGTTGAATAATAGTGGTGAGAGTGGGCAACCTTGTCTTGTTCCTGATCTTAGTGGAAATGGTTTCAGTTTTTCACCATTGAGAACGATGTTGTCTCTGGGTTTGTCATATATGATCGTTTTTATGTTGAGGTAAGTTCCCTCTATGCCTACTTTCTGGAGAGTTTTCATCATAAATGAGTACTGAATTTTGTCAAAAACTTTTTCTGCATCTATTG